TCCCCTATTGACTTTGGTGAAGTTCTTCTTAGGCTTCTTGTCTTTCTTAAGCTTTGGACAGTCGTTCTTGTAATGACCTGCCTCACACTCATAGCAAATGACTTCTTTTCCAGAACTCTGCTTCTTTTGTCCAGAAGATGAGTCAGCACGACTTTTGTTTCTTCTTGATCCTCTGAACTTCCCTTGCCTATGTTTCCAGAGTTTGTTGATCCTTCTGGAGATAAGTGATATCTCATCTTCCGAGTCTTCATCAAAATCTTCTGATTCCTCCTCAGCTTGATAAGCCTTTGCCTTTTTAGGTTTAGACTTAAGAGCAATATAGTTATTCTTCTTCTGAGGTTCATCTTCCTCCCGCTCTATCTCATGACTTCTTAAATAACTAACGAGTTCATCAAGATTTATACTATTCAGATCCTTGGATAGTTTAAGAGCAGTTACCATAGGTCTCCATTTCTTGGGAAGGCTTTTGGTGATCTTTTTGACATGATCAGTAGTTGAGTGTCCTTTGTCCAGAACTTTAAGTCCTACGACTAGCATTTGAAACCTTGAAAACATATTCTCAACTGTTTCATCATCCTCCATTCTGAATGCCTCATATTTCTGGATTAAGGCAAGCGCTTTTGTCTCCTTAACTTGAGCATTTCCTTCATGAGTCATTCTTAGATAATCAAAAATGGACTTGGCAGTATCTCTATTTGTTATCTTCTCATACTCAGTATAAGAGATAACATTTAGTAGTATAGTTCTTTCCTTGTGATGATTCTTATAATCTTTCTTTTGTTGGTTGGTCATAGCACTTCTTGATACTTTTACTCCTTCAGCACCAACTGGGTGAGTATAGACATCAACTACAAGATCCCAAAGATCTACATTATAACCAAGAAAGAAACTTTCAATTCTATATTTCCAGTAGTCAAAATTTTCACCATCAAAGACTGGTGGTTTCACACTATAATGATCTTTCTCATCTGGAATAGGAATAGCATTAGCTGCAACTATAATATCTCACACAAATACTGGATCGGTACTGAATACGGTGAAGTGTTGATAAAACTTTTATCACAATCAGAACCGGAGCTCTGATGCCAATTGAAGGTGTGAGAAAACACAAGAAATGGGGGTTTGAATTGGGTTTTCAAAAATGAAATCTTTTTGTGAAACTCAAACAAAGATCACAAATAAACTAACAAGAGAAAAAGACACATGATATATCCTGGTTCACTTGAAAACTATCAAGCTAATCTAGTCCACCCGCCAAGGTGATTTCGCCTTATACACAAGGAATTAATCTACTATAATCAACTGATTACACTGCACTAGCAACCACTGGTGACTAACAACACAGACAACCGCCTCTTCTTAAGGATTCTGACCCAACTGGTCCCTTAAGGAATCACAATCTGCACTAGCAACCGCTGGTGACTAACAACAAAGACTAACTGTCTCTTCTTGAGAATTCTGACCTAACTGATCCTTTAAGGAGTTAGAAACAATAGTTTGAACAAAAATGTTTACAATGAATTACTTCTACACAAGCAGATATTAACACTATTAATTACTCTAACGACTTAAAGAAACTTTCACAATATGAATAGTTATTTCTTTGTATTGTGGTGCTCCAATATTGTTGCTTCAGTTCTTCATAAATCATTCATTCTTCTTTGATAATGATTGTACTATCGTTATATCAATCATTGTATCATGCTCTATTTATTTTCAAGCCATCAAGTCCTTATATAGCCAGAAAAAGATCTGTTGGAGGGCAGATCAGGAATATCCTTTTAGATAGCTAGCGACTTGAAATAATATCGTTACGCAGGGATGAAAATCGTACACAAAAGTTGTCCTTTGTATCACAAATTAGGGTAGTGGAATGGTAGTGGAATGGAACGTTGAAACATATTATGTACCATTTTCCCTCGTAAAGTTTAAGCTTATCTTCTGTACATCAAAGGCTTCTGAATAAAAATGATTGAAGCATGAGTAGAAAAGTTGATCACTGGGTCTTCAGAGTCTTGAGTCTTTAGAGTCTTCAGAACTTGTTCACCAGAACCTTATCTTTAGAACTTTAAGCACTCAGTCTTCAGAACCCTTGGTATTTAGTAACTTAAGTCTTCAGAACGTCATTCAACAGAACTTTGTCTTCAGAGTCTTTAGCACTTAGTCTTCATAAACTCAAGTCTTCAGAACTTTGTTCAGTAGAACCTTGTCTTCAGAGTCTTCAACACTTAGTCTTCAGAAGATAATGACTTCAGAAGCTAGAAAGCTTTCAGAAGTAAAACATCAGAGTCATGCTCAGAGGCAGAAACCAAGAGAACATTGCAGCAACAACATATTGTCTTCTCGTAATCTTTCTAAATGTGAATAGATCAGAAGCGGGCTTGCTTCTTATGGCGCAAAAGCGACTTTGGTCAGATTAGAGTGACGTTGCACATGGTTTCTATCAAAGTCAGAGCTTTCTCTATCAGAGTCAGAACCTGTTTGTTAATTCTTCAGAAAAACAAACGCTAGAGTACCAAAATTATTCTCACACAAATACTATTTTGTTATTATCAAAACTTAGAGATATCTGGCAGAACCAAATCTTGTTCTAACATAGAGCACAAGTGGATATTTTTAGAGCATTTGAAGCCATTGGAGGTCATCTCTTTAAGAAACTTCTCATGTTATTTTCATCTATCATTTGTGGTATTTTTAATTGCACTATGAGTAGCTACATTCTTCTAGGTTAGATTGTGTTATGATGAACCTATTTCTATATTATTGGATTCTATGTTGATTTGACTGTTGTATGAACCTATTGATCTATAATTATATTCAATTGTTTCTTAATCTTAATACTTTTTATTTGAGATACTCTGTTAATTTGATATTGGACATATAGGGATTACTGACCTTTAGGCTATGTGTTGGACCTAGGGTAACTGTTCTACTTACGCTGATCAAATAGAGATATGAGACCCCGAGTAATGGCATAAAGAATTAACGTTCTACACATTGCCTAACCCTGTTTACGCAGACAAACTAGGGATAGAAAGCTCTGAGTAGTGGTTAGTGAGTTATTTTGTGAAGGATCAACTATAATGATTTTGTTAACTTGTCGTGGGGTTATAGTGATTAAATCATTCATACAGGGCATCAAACATCAACAATAGAGGAATATGAGATTCTATAACACAACCTGGCCGCTTTCATGACATTGTTTACTCGTTTATTTATTTTTTACACTGAAACTTGCAAACCCCCTTTAATTACTATTTCCTATTACATTACTTCATTCTTGTCTTATTCGCACACACTCCTAATGAGTTTGATCTTTTTATTACTGTGACATTATTGATACAGATCTCGAGAAATCATCAGTCAACAAAATCACAACCGCTAAAAATTAAGACTATTAAATTTTTAAGAGGTATGAGAAAATATCTGGTATACGAATTTTATTTGTTTGAAAAAATAGATAAAACTTTTATACGCATCTGCTTTTTCAAAAATACCGATAAAAATACATATTGAATTTTTTTTATGAATTATCAAATTTTTTTAGTCTAATTTTTTTTTACAACATGTGATTAATAAAAAAAAAAAAAGGAATATTTTTAATATTATAAAACAATGTAGGAATATTAGGTAAGTTAGGGGTGCCATGTAAATTGTCCTCCATCCCTCCTACATAACATCACTTGATACATGCCAAAAACTTCCCTATCATGAACTCTTAAATGAGGTAACGAGCACAACATTATCACCTCACATAAATAAGTTGAAATCCACACAACATATTGATCACAAAGAAATAATGCATCTATGTTACATAAAGGATCATGGGGAAACAAGGCCAAAACTTAAGAAAAAAATTGAGAGGATGATCAACTAACTATTCTAGAGATAGTTGCACCAAAATCCAAATCCCATACCTACTCCTTGAAATAATACAAGACATTATTTCTTCTTTTCAACAATGAGCCTTAGAGGAGGGATATCTCACATCCTAAACATTTCTTAGTTTTTTTAGAGCAACCACCTATTTAATGCTTGCAAATGACATCTTACTTTCTCAATAAGTATAATTTGGCTTTTGGTTACTCTAAGTATACTTGAATGCCTTGTTTATTAGCCTCTTCTAAAGCAAAAATTGATAAATTGTTGTTTCCATTCCAAAAAAAATAAAGTTGTTATAACTAATTATTAAAAGCATCAATTATGAGATAAGGTAGTTTGATTAATATTTAGTAGGAAGTAGTATATGATTTGTAGTGATAATAGAGAAATCATGAGATTTAATTTAACTCTCCCTACTAACAACAAAAATAATATAACAACTAATTATTCTAATTTATATTTTTTTTCAAAAAAAAAAAACTATTTATATCTTCCATTTCCAAATCTCTTTTCTTGAAAGGTTTGAATATTATTATTTTTTAGTTAACTTGGATCTCTCAATTCATCTACTCACATCTTTGAATTCATGCACACAATAAAAAAATATCAACACTTTACATTGAAATCGTCAAAACTAATAATTAAAAAAAAAGGAAATTGCATTAGCAATATTTGTTTATTTGCTTCGATTTGATCCTTTCTCTCTATTCCCCTTGGATCTTTACCCTGTTCTTCAATTCCTTTCTTTCCAAAATTAAATCTTTCTGAAAAAAAATATTTTCTGGTAATTTTTTTCTCTGATTCTTGAAGAGCTTCAAATTCTGTGGATGCAATTTGGAGGTAGAAAGATCTTATTTTGAGCCTCGCCCTCGATTACTCGCTTCAAATTCAATTCTGGGTCGGTTTCAGTTTCTTCAGAAAACCGTAAAACAGTGAGATTCACTTCGTTGCAGTGTTCTTGTTTAAGGTATATATTTTCAATTTTCATTGTTACTAATTTTGCAATGCAGTTTTTATGAATGATGATTTTTTGTGGTAGCAGATTGTTGATTGTTGTGGTGGAACGGAACTGTTGGGAAGTGTGTGATGGTTGTGGTGATGAAGTGTGTGACAAGGAAATGGAGGTTAGATCAGAGGGTTTTCAAGTGATGTATGATAAGCTTCATGCTCCTGTGATTCCGAGGAGCCGTTTTCGGTTTTGGTTCATTCGAGTTTGTTCAAGCATTGTTCTGTGGACATGTTTGGTTCAGCTTGTTACAGTGAGTGAACTATGGCATTCCAATTTTTTTACTGGCTTAACAAGTCGTATATATCACACAACGCAACGTCCTATTCAAGACGATATTAGACTTACTCAATCGCCTCCAACTATACTTCCTGCAAGTTAGTTTTTCTATCTGGTGTTTATGTATTAGCAATGTTTTTTGTTTGATGGAATGTTTATGGATGTGATTTCGAGTTTTATATTAAAGCATTGTCAACTGAAACCTTGCAGGAAATTATACTAGTAATGGTTTTCTAAGAGTGTCCTGCAATGGGGGTTTGAATCAAATGCGTGCAGCGGTTTGTACCTTCTGTTCTTCCGTTTCTTTATTCCTATTATATGATAAGCTTCAATGTTTAGTTAGCAGATTTGGCATTTCAGATTTGTGACATGGTGACAGTTGCTCGGCTTTTGAACCTCACATTGGTTGTTCCAGAGCTGGATAAGAAATCCTTTTGGGCAGACCATAGGCATGTATATATATATTCTTTGTTTTGAAAAAGAAAAAGAAAACGAGTATTCTCTAATTTGTCTGTCTCGTCGTTTTAAAATTTGTACTTTTCTTTTTGCAGTGGCTTTGAGGAAATATTTGATGTAAAGCATTTCATTGATTCTTTACAAGATGAAGTTCGAATAGTGAAAAGAGTTCCCAAAAAGTTTAGTAGGAAAGGTGGATACTCCACCATGGCGATGCCTCCTATTAGCTGGTCAAATGAAAAGTATTACTTGGAGCAGGTCCGCAGAATATTTGTATCAATAATAAAATGCCACTTTACTCTTGCAAATTTTCATAATTGTAGGTCTGCAGAATATGTATAGAGTTTGATTATTGACTACAACTGCAGATTCTGCCGCTTTTTGCCAAGCACAAGGTGGTACACTTCAATAAAACAGATGCACGCCTAGCAAATAATGGTCTTCCAATTGATCTACAGAAACTTAGGTGTCGTGTTAATTTCCAGGCACTTAAATTCACTTCTCAAATTGAGAATCTGGGGCAAAAATTGATTCAGATACTTCACAAGAGGGGACCTTTTGTGGCATTGCATCTGAGATATGAGATGGACATGCTGGCTTTCTCAGGTTGTACTCTTGGTTGCACTATTGAAGAAGCCGAGGATCTCAAGCGGATGAGGTGTTTTATGTTTCCTGTTTCGCTATGCATTTATTTATATATAAGTTGTTATGAGAGATAGGTCTTTCTTGTATAGTTTGTGGTGTTTTATGATTTGTTGAATTTGATATATTTTGACGATTATTAGACATTAAGTACATTCACTTCATAAAAGAGAGAATCTTGTGGTCAATCTCACGTAAAATTTTGATTTTGCTTGCACAATTCAGATATGCATTCCCTTCATGGAGAGAGAAGGAAATAGTGTCTGAAGAAAGGAGATCACAGGGTCTATGTCCTTTGACACCAGAGGAGACAGCCTTAGTTATGCGAGCCTTAGGTTTTGACCGGGAGACACAGATCTACATTGCAGCCGGTGAGATTTATGGCGGTGAACGTAGACTTGCACAACTGAGAGCCGCATTTCCAAATATTGTGAGTTCCCTTTCTGCTCCTTCTTTTTAAAAATATTTTTTGATATTCGATATTATAAACTGCCTCTGAATGATTCTAGTTTGGCATATCGGCTTATGCGAAATTGTCCATTTACAATATGTACCTGATCTACATTGTGCAATTTCTCATTTTAATCATGGATAATGCACGTTTTATAAGAGTCCATTTTACTTTACTTTAGGTTAGAAAAGAGGCATTGCTAGCTGTTAATGAGTTGCAGCAGTTCCAAAATCATTCATCGCAAATGGCAGCATTGGACTTTATGGTTTCAGTAGCCAGCGACACCTTCATTCCTACCTATGACGGGAACATGGCAAAACTTGTGGAAGGTCACCGCAGGTATATATTTACACGCGCTAGGTGCAATTTCATCTCATGTTAATGTATTCTGGTTTTAGAAAAGCAGCCATAAAATAGTATCCAAATTTTTTTTTCTAATTCGTCTTCCTGCAGGTATAGTGGTTTTAAAAAATCCATCTTGTTGGACCGGAAAAAGCTTGTACAATTGATTGATATGCATCAAAATAGAACCCTTCAGTGGAATGAGTTTGCAGATGCTGTGCGACAGGCTCACGGAAAGAGAATGGGACAGCCAAGTTATCGTAGAGTTATCGCAGACAAGCCAAAGGAGGAGGATTATTTCTATGCCAACCCTCACGAATGCCTTTGTGAGGAAACAAAGTGTGATGATTTGCTAGGTCCTCAAAACTCTCGTCAAGTAAGATGAGTAAAAGTTGTTGAATATAGAAAATATGCACTCTTAGCCCAGCCATAAGCATGAGAGAGTTATCTAAAAATAGCTCCTTTCCACGGACACAAGTTCTTAGAAATTTATGTATACATAACTTTGTAGAAAATCACGGGGATGAAAGAAAAATCGAAAAGAAAAAGGAAACATATGTTTTATATAGAGGCTTGTAAAGATGTATCTTCGATTTTACCCTGATTCCCCCCTCCACCAAATTCAGTATAGTTGTATAATAACAGTTTATATCACAATCTTGCATTCGAAGTGTGAACTCTAAAGTTCATTTTCTCTGTAATAACAATGGTCAACTGCTTTATAAATAATCACTAGTACAGAAGTGTAATTTATATTTCATACATTACATTTTCCTCTTTACAAACTTCAGGCATGTAATCGATTGGTCCAGACCCAGAGTCAAAAAATTGATCATGATCCTCTTAAGATTCATTAGAAAATCATGGTATTGTAAATCTCAGAAGACTCCATTTGTAATTTTAACAAGTATTCAGTTTTTTCATCCTTAAGAAATGCAAACAACAGTGTATCTTTAACTGGTTGAACTGCTTCCTGCAAGATTAGAAGAATTTTCCGAGGTCTCCAAGGATATCGCCATTTTCTCCGCAAAGTCCAAGATCCTTGAGCCTTCTTTCTTGATAATACTCTAACTGGTCCAATTCCAATTCTTTCTGCTTGAAGATCCCGTCAATTTGCTCCAGGACCATCTTTTCCCCTTCTCTTATTCCAACTGCTATTGCAAGCCTTGAATCTAGATTTCCTTCTTTCAACTTGCGATCCTGCCATTTATATATTTTGTTCGGTATTTGTTTATCAGTTAATATCAATCCGATCAGCTTCAAAGTTTTCACAATTTAAACACCCTGTACTATTGGAAAATGTAACGAGGTTACTTTAATTGTATTTGTCATACCTGTTCAATGGTTGTATGATAACCGGCAAGGGCAGATTTGCAGGCGTCTCGAACCGCTTTGCATAGTAGCTCCTCATTGTCACGGCTGACAGACAACTCAAGATGACCCCATATGGTGTTTCTGAACAGTGATTCCAATAAGAAAGCGTCGGTACCTCCTAGCGCAACTAGTCTCAGATATGGAAGCAATCCAGGTGGAAGAGTGCGATTATAGAAGATGTCAAAGTACGCTGTCTGAGCAAAACCGTTGGCCTCAGCAACGTCTAGTTTGTCATCAAAAAAAGGGTCTGACTCGGATATCTCCAGTGTCAAAGTGTATGCATGTCGACTTTCATTCGGTTCAATGAAACCGTAGTCTAGAGCCAACTCTGCATTGCTTTTGTTCAAATCATATTGGATATATACCTGCGTAAAAGTTGCTTCCATTGTTATGTGTAAACAATATTATGATCGAAAGTTATGTTATCATCTGCTCGATTATCAACGCGCTCGATTATCAACGCGACCATAAAAGAAAGTTCACCTGTTCTCCGGCCTTGACAGAAAGAGGGCTCTTTAAGGAAAATAGGTAATCCCAAGAGAAAAGACCAGCTGCTCCTTTAACTTCATAAGCATGATCCTCTGTAGTAACTCTGACACTGTGGTTAATCTGATCCAGAAATCCAATTTTCAAAATGTCATTTTTCTTTTTTGTTGAAAGATATTGACAGAAGAAGAGAAAATGAAAAGGTTCTTACTAAGTCTGCCATTGGAACTATAACCAGATTTTCATTGCGAAGGCGAGAAAACGCCCTTGATCTGAGCATTCCAAATGCCCAAAAGAAGTCATCCAGCGTCACAGGATCGGGAAAAAGCCGCTTATTAGGGAGAATGATTTCTTGTTCTAGTTTCAGACATTCATTCTTCACATATTCTTTCACAGACACTGTTGTTTTCAAAAGTTGAGTACCTAATCAAATACATTCATTCAAATTTCAGTTTCATAATACTTATCTTATCTGAATCTATAAAAGAACCGTACTATTCACGAAAATTGCAGGACTAACAAACCTTGAAGCTCTTGGAGCTCTTCTTCTGACCTGCACTGGAATAACCAATTACCAACTGAATCAACCATATGAAGAGAATCCATATTCACATTAAGCTTATACTAGTAACAAAACAAAACAAAACAAAACAAACCAAAGAAAAGAAAAGAAACCCACCAATATATAGTAGAATCAGTTTCCTGTGGCAGAATACCAAAATAGTGCTTCCAAACAGAATCTTCCCTTGACCTCTCTCTTATGAGAAAGAGTATAACAGACAACCATGGCTTCAACTCACTGCACACTCTCCCAATCTCTGAAGCTGCAACTGCATCTGGATTTATCCACAGCCTTTTTGGAACCTGCAAAATAACATCATTCCTAGAAATGTCTCTGAGTGCAACCAATCCTAGACCTTCTGTGACCACACTAGCTTTCACTGGGGTCTTGGCAGTGATGACACCTTCTTCCTGGAGCCACTTCCAGAAGGTTTGAACTGCTGGAGACAGTGATGGTTCGGTTCCAACAGAGGCTACTGATTTTGCAGAGAAGGATCTCTTGAGATGGAGAATTGGAGATTTGGGTGTAAAAGATGTACCCTTGTTGGTGAGAAAAAGAAAGGGAGAAGCTGAACCTCCAGAGAAGATAGTAGCCATTTTCTGGTTTCTACTTTCTGGTCTTGTTTTGTGATGATATTCTTTTCTTTTGTGTTGTGTCACTTAGTAAGCCTTCAATCTTATTTTTGTGTTGTGGATAAGACTCTTCTATTATTGTTGATGTTTGAAACTCTCAATCAAATTTTCATTTATCCACTATATGTATCATGTTATTTGCATATACTAGTTTTTTTTTTTAAAGTACTAACTATTACAATACAAAAGTAACACATTTATTTTAAATTTTATAAATTAAAATATAGATTAGGAGGTACACCCTATAAAGTAAGAAAATAACAAGCTTTATTTAAGATTTATAAATCAATTTATATAAGTCACAGTTGGTATGAATGAAAGGTTTAACCATCAATGTCAAGACAAGACAATTAATAGAGTAATACATGTTCAATTCAATATTACCTATATATTTTTTAGGTTTAAATGCACTTCAGGTCACCTAATTTTTTTCAACTTTTACTATCTTTATTTTAACAATCATTTTTTTAATCTCTAAACTTTATCTTCATTGGAATTTTTATGGTTTTCATTCAATTTTGTACATGTGTCATACTCACTAATGACGCGTCATTGGTACCGTGGAATTAGGTCAGATTTATTGAATCTACCGTATAAAAAAAATATATGTTTTTTAAAAGACAAAATTGTCCTTCTATCTTCTCCACATGACAAGTGTCTATTCTCTTCACCTTCCACTCAATTTTCAACTTTCTCTTATTGAAATTTCACTTATTTTCAGGAAATATTTTCAAAAGATTTTCACAGAAACTAATATATTTATTCTTACTATATTTACATTGTATATGTCTACTCAAAAACTCCTCTCTCTTTGCTCCCCATTATTTCTTCTTCATTATGTCATTTTCTAATTCATAAACATGACATTTTTTTTTATAGTTAACATAGATAAATGATAAGGAAACAACATGAATATTGGCGTCGATTTTTTAAACAACTTTAATATATTTACTTTTTCTTCTTTATTTCATTACTTTTATTTATAATTTTTATAGATCTGTGTGATTTTTCAGATCCACATTCAGATTTACTAATTCAACTACAAGAAGAAATACCAGGCAAACACAATTTTTATAGATATGCATGATTTTTCAGATCCACTTCCAGATTTAGTGATTCATTTGCAAGAAGAAATATTGAGCAACACAATATTCTACAGTCAGGTAATTAAACTTACTTTACTCTACCATGTTCAAATAATATTCTACTGTCAAAGTGAGTGCATTCTATCATCATTGTTTTAGATAATTGAATATCACTTTTTATATATTTGAAATTATCATGTTTTATGATACTTTTGTTCAGTTGAGGAGGCTTTTTGTCCACTATTGTTGCTTGATTTTGCTGGTTGTAATTTTGAGACTGAGACAGGTGTTATGTGTTTGGGGGTATAGCTTAGTTTGAATTGAGTTGTACTAAAAACTGATGTGATGATTCAAGATATGAAATCAGAAGGTTAGTACCAAACAAGGTTTGCTTTCCTTTTTTATGTCTTCTTTTTTTTAGTGTCTTATCTAAATAGTTTGGATCTGCAGATGTCGTACTATGTTTTGATGGATGACCTAGCTAAGGTGTGACAAATACATGAAGCCAGAGTGATTTTCGATGAAATAACAAAAACGAAAGTCAGATCTAGTAAGTTGTAATTTAAAATTTCCTTCAATGAAATAAAGCATTGTGTGTGAGGAGCCCTACTAAATTTATAAATGTAATTCTCACTTGCAAATGGCTATGTTCACAATATCATGATAATAGTCGGTTGTTTTACATAATGTTGTTTTTGCAGAATTTGCACCGATCTGGTGGTTTATTTAAAGGTGAAAAAATAATAAAGAAAGGTTGAGCATCATTTGGTTTGCATATGTGTTTGGACTATGTGGAGGAAGTGAAATGAGAAATTTTTTAGAAGTTATAAAGGAGAAAATGCACTAACATTTGTTGTTTATGAGTTTTGAACATTTTCTGTTTTTACATTTTAATACCTTAATTGCTTATGTTTTTGCATTCAAACTTATGTTTTGCTATTATATGAATATGTAATTTCTTATCCATTCAAGTTTTCTTGTTCATAGCTTTCACTGACAGTCCTAGTGTGTTTTTTGGGAACACTTTAATGAATTGCAGTAACATTTGTTATGGAGACTAAGCCAAATATTTGGAACATTGGTTGGGACATGAATTGTGTAGCCGTAACATGTGATGTAAGTTACTCTCCTAATATCTTTTGCTATGTTTATTGTGATACAAATAATTAATGGATGTAAATATTAATGAACAAACAGAGTATAATATTATCATGTCCCTCTTACATAGTATAACATCATTAAAATAAGGATTTGTTGGATGTTATATAAGCCAAATGCAATGTAACTATGATTGGAAGCTATTTGAAAAGGTGTCAGAATGCTGCAGGAAAAACCAGAAAAATACTTATGCTTTTAGGCTGTTTTGTTTAGCTTTTATTTGTTACTTTGTTTAGTGTTAGTAGGCACTATATATACATTTTGTAACATGTTGAATGAGTTAATGCCATATGAGTTTTTTTACCCTCTCAATTAATCTCTATTCTCTCTAAACTTCATCTTCCCCAATCCTCCAATTTCACCAAAATTATCCATCACCCCCATTGATTCACATACAAGCTTTTGTGTTTGTTCCAACATTTGGCATCAAGAGCATTGGTTCCGATCCTATTCCGCTGCAATGTCGTTTCAAACGACAAGATCCCCACCAATCTTCTCATTCTTGATTCAAAGAACTACAACAAATGGTGCAAACAAATGAAAGTTTTGTTTGGCTACCAAGACGTGTTCGATGTGATTACTACCGGTGTTACCACTCTTGTTGAAGAGGCTACAGCTTCCCAACAAGCCACTCACAAATAAGAGAAGAAGAAAGACTACAAGGCTCTCTTCTTGATACATTCTTGTGTTGATGAAGACAACTTTGAAAAGGTTGGTGATTGTGACTCGGCGAAGAAAGCTTGGGATATACTGGAGAAGACGTATGCGGGAGTTGACAAAGCGAAGGTGGTGAGGTTACAAACTCACAAGAGGCAGTTTGAATTACTCCAAATGGAAGAGAAGGAAACAGTCAACGATTACATAACGCGTGTGACGCGTTTGGTGAATCAAATGAAGGCTTGTGGTGAGTCGGTTTCGGAGGAAAACATTGTGTCGAAGGTGTTGCGTTCTTCAACGACAAGATTCGACAACATTGTTGTTGCGATTGAAGAATCGAAGGATCTCAAGACCATGATGAAGGATGAACTACAAAGTTCATTGGAATCTCATGAACAAAGGATGGATGAAAGAGGAAACGATAAGGCAAAAGCGGAAGTGGCTTTGCAAGCTCGTTTCAATCAGAAGAATAAGAGATCGAAAGGGAAATGGTCTTCTAGAGATAAGAAGAATTTCCAGAATTTTGGTGGAAAAGATCCACAAAATTCAAGAGGACAAAGAGTAGAAGGAACCTCTAAGGATGGTAGTCAAGGCAACTACAAGCCGCTCGACAAAAGTACCAAGAGATGTTACAATTTTCAAAAGCTTGGACATTTCTCAAGAGACTATCGTTTCAAGCGCAAGGAGAGTGATGCGGATGAAGCGAAGGTTGCTAGGCAAGAAGTGGATGCTGATAGCACACTTCTTGTGGTGATTACTGATAACGCGAAATCATATCGTTTATTTGGCTTGATTTACATGCATTTATTTGTGACTATTATTAATTTATCTTGATTTATGTTCTCTTATATGATTAATTTACTTCGTTTTGCAGATTGGGGAGAATTTGGATTAAAGAAAGAAAAGAAGAAGAAATGGAAGGAAAAGAGAGAAGAAAAACAGAAAAAATGGATTTTGCTGATATGACGGTCGTCACAGGTCCATTACGACCGTCATGCGTATGACGACCGTCACGCAGACGAAATATCATTTAACGTTCAAATCAGTTTTTTTTGCCACGATCACTCTCTCTAAGATTTCTTCCTACACTTTCTCCACTCACTGCCCACTACTGGAAGTTACTCCCATTCCCTCCATAACTCACCCATGATCTCTGGAAGTTGAAGAAGGAATTATCTCCTATAAATAGGCCTTAGATTCACAGTTTAAGGGGGAGGCTTCGAGGTATCGAAATGCTTCCAAGATTTCTACTAAAGTTATTTCTCCCAGTTTTATTGTTTTCTTTTATTTCATTTCCATTTTCCTTTAGTTCAGAACATTGTATTTTCTTCCTGTACCTTTTAATTCTCGCCAAAGTAGAATCCTGCCGACATTGTGGAGGACTACTCAAGGATTCGAGATCAGTACAATTTACAGGTTCTTATTAATTGAATTATTACTTTATTTTCTGTCATAATGTATGTTTTATTATTTTGTTGTTTATATTTATTCCCGTTTGCATCAATTATCATGTCTAGCTAAATTAGTTTTATCGGTATGTAACCGAATTAGTAGGACAGGATTCGATAGTAACCGGCACCTTCCCTATTTACAGACAACCTTTCTGGCCGTAGTTTTTAATCTTAATTTCTAAATAAACCTTCGTCGCGACAGCGAGAAATTATTTACAGTAGTTTCGCCACGACAGTGGAAAATTCATTAAGGCACGAATCGGCACGCGAAAGCTGGGATTCAAACCAGATAGTAAAAACTAGGCATTGATTTTAAACACAGCAAAAGCGCTTTAAAAGAAATAAGAATCTATTTGTTTTCAAAAAGTAGTTTTAACCCTGAATGGGACTGCGAGAGCGTACATTCCGCCTTAGAATTATGACCCGAGTCAACAACCATCGTGAGGCAGAGGTCTTTAAACGAGTATTTTCTCCTGAAAAGTGTTTGCAAAGAGTAAAAAGCACCGGCGACCTGTCGAATCCCCGATAACTAATTCCTTGCATACCGATATCCCTTTACCTCTTTTTCTTTAAACCAATTATCTTTATTTTCTTTGCATTTAATTTCATTCGC